GGAAAGAGGACGAGTTGGAATATTTCAGACTCAGTGATGTGTGGGATTGCTACGACGAGTTGAGCGCATATGGACTCGGTTCACATGTGGAGTTAAACAACGGCGAAAGCGTCACTCAATACTACGTTCCGTACTTGTCCGCCATCCAAATCTACACTCGCAAGTCCTCTTCCATTTCCAGGTCCCTTTCTCTTCCTTTGTTTCTTATTTACGTAAAGAATCCTTTGTCTGGGTTGAAATGGGGGCGAGTTTGATGAGGGTTTGGATATAAGCCCTCTACTCTCTCTCGTCTCGCCCCTCCGGCCCCTCGCCGACGAGTGGCGGATCTAGAGAATATTATAAATGGAAGCAAAATTCTATGCATTTAATTTTAAAGACAAATTTTACTTTTGTGGGGGCAATTTAATATTTTTCTATGCAATTTTACAAAATTTCTTGGAAAATTTAACAGTTTTTTAATTAGATATATAGGGCGAGTAACCCAAAATACAAAAAAAAAATGTATGGGGTCCACGATAAAATTCAGCGGGGGCATTAACATATTTTCGCTAAAATTTTAGTAAACTTAACAATTAATATTTAAAAAAAAAAATCAGTGGGGGCCAGTGACCCCACTCCTTGTAACGTAGATCCGCCTGTGCCGGTGACTAGTACCCGAAATCTCGGGTAGTGACGGGTGGATGGCTCGAAATTTGGCTTGGATATGGTGTCTTTTGTCTGAATTCGGTGTTTGTGTTTTGGGTGAGGGATGAGATAGGATCAGTCTCTAGTGGTCGGAACATCGAGTTTCTTGATGTAGTGATGATGATAAATGGGTGCAGGAACCATATGGACACGGTTGAATCCGAGAGTGAATGCTGGAGCGATGATAGCTGCAGCGAGAAGTTGTCGCGTTCTTTGAGCAACGATTCAAACAAGACTTGGGATGCGGTCTCGGAAGATTCGTGCTTTGATCACGTTCATGATACAGCTTCCCTGATGCGAGATAGGCTCGGATACCTCGAGTTTAGTTACTTCGAGACAGCTCCTCCTCATCTTCGTGTTCCTTTTACAGACAAGGTTTGTCTCCATTAATCCAATGAACACTCCATTTCGACGCCTTCCCCATGAACCCAGCATTAAAACTTACTTCGGCTTCAGATAAATCAGCTGGCGGAGAAGTGCCCGGGACTTTTATCTCTCAGGAGTATCGATATCTCACCCGCAAGTTGGATGGCGGTTGCGTGGTAAGTCAGCCTGTTTACACTTGTTTCGGTCTTCTAACTAATTTTGCTTAACTACTCGAGCAATCACCCGACAAACCCATTTTAAATTCCACCTCGGTATCGTTTTGAATAGGTACCCGATATACCACATTCCCTCCCGCAAGAACGAGAAAGACTTATCTGCTTGCTTTCTAAGTTATCATACACTTTCCTCGTCTTTCCAAGGTACTTTCACGGCATATAACCCGCAATTTCACGCAATAGACTTAATGTTTGGTGTTTCTTTTCGCTCGTGGCAATACTACTGCGCAGATAATCTAATTGAGGCAGAGGATGACAAGACAGAGGAAGGGACAAGCTGTTGTCTCGACGAGTCTACGGGCAAGAGGATTCCGCTCGCTCCCTTCGGGTTATCGACGTACAAAATGCAGCAAGGAGGAGAGCTTTGGGCGAAACCCGGAACTTACGACCACGAAAGGTTGCTCTACCTAAACAGTGCGGCGGATTCCTGGCTGAAACAGCTCAACGTTTATCACCATGACTATAGCTTCTTCACTGTTAACTCGGTCTCGTAGAGGCCGACGTCGGTTTTGTTTTTTCGTCTCTGTGGCTCGTTGTGTTGTTTTAGGTAGCAACCGCCATTGCGCAGTTTTTCCATCTCTGAGCTTGAAGCCATGGAAGAAGGAGCAAGAGGAGGAGCTTTCTTGGTTAGAGACAATGTCAATGGAGTTTTTGTTTTTTGGATTTCTGTTTTTATTTTTTTATGTTTGTACCGATCACTAACTTGACGAACTCTTGTTTTTGGTACTCCGTTGTCTGAATATAAGAGTTTTGTAAATTCGGTTCTGACTTATCTCTTTGTCTCGGTTGTGTGACTTGAACGTATGATGTGCGTGAATACGTACTACCGGCTGGCTGCCCTTGGGGAATATTACTCAAATAACCCACTTGGGTCGCAGCAATTTCAGTGTACACCACCGAAAAAAAAAAAAAAATTTTGCGACCTTATTACGACTAATATATAACTAATATACAACTAAAATAAGAGTAGTTTATTAGTCGTAATAAGTTATATATTAGTTATATATTAGTCGTAATAAGGTCGCAAATTTTTTTTTTTTTTTCGGTGGTGTACCCTGAAATTGCTGCGACCCAAGTGGGTTATTAGGGTTAAAACCCCTGCCCCTTGCGCAACCGAGAGTTATCCGGGTCCCACCCTCGAGGGATATTTAGATTTTTTATTAAAAATTTTATGTTTAATAATTTCATTTTGTTATTTATAATTTATTTTAAGTATTCAAAATTCTTTCCAAATACAGTTAGAATAACAATTAACTTGATTAACATTTAAATTTTGTTCTTATAAAAGGGCAGTTTCGGAATCTTATTCTTGTAAAAAGCGTAAGTATATCGGTACAAACCCCAACTTAATTACACAAACCAGAGACAGACGACTATGCAAAGTGCTATTTTGATTCAGACAAAGAACAAAGGAGAAAAAACACAATGCCGCTTGTATGTATAAAGTCTCAGTAATCCTCGGGAGCCAAAGGCTGGTGAGTAGTGTGATGAACAGGTTCGGTCGGAATGATCATATACTCGTATATAAGCCCAGCAAGACCACCACCGATGAACGGTCCGACCCAGTAGATCCAATGGTTCTTCCATCTCCATCCTACCAGTGCCGGGCCAAAGGCTCGGGCCGGGTTCATCGAAGCCCCTTCGAATGGTCCACCGACGAGCATATTCGCCCCGAGGATGAGACCGATAGCCAATGGGGCTATGATACCGATGCTTCCCCTCTTCGGGTCGATTGCCGTCGAGTAAACGGTGTAAACCAAACCATATGTGAGAATGATCTCCATTAACAGCCCATGAACTTCACCTACGCCATGGGTTACGTGAAACCCCACCGGTCTCTGCATAGGAAATTTAAGTTCGGTTAATAATTGAATTACCGAATAATCAGACTGAACAGAACATAACCGTACCAACTAATTATCATCAAACCAAACCGAATTCATGAAAACCAAAATTGAATGAAAACCGAAATGGATGGTACCAAGCCGTTTGTTGCGAGTCTCAACAACAGACAAGCGAGGATGGCTCCGAGAAGCTGAGCGATCCAATAGTAAACGGCACGAATCACTGAGATCCGGCCTCCGACCAGTGCCCCGAAAGTGACGGCCGGGTTTACGTGGCCTCCCGAGACGTTGATGGCTGCGGAAACTGCGGCGAAAAGAGCCAATGCATGAGCCAGCGCGACCAGGACCAGTCCTCCCGGCGTGTTCGTCCCCGAGTGAGCAGCATGGTCCCAATATAACTTGTCTGCCAAGAAACACAGACACTTTTAATTTTCAGACATGCAGTTGCAGAGACAGAAACCCTAACCAGAGATATCCATGGTGTATACCGAGAGCGAGGATGGAGCCTTCGCCTGCGAAGACGAAAACGAAAGTGGAGATGAGCTCGGCCAAGGTCGCTCTAATGGAGTCCGGGTGAGTCGCCTCATCTGCCCGACCAAATCCGTACGCTCTACGAGCCGACGTCGTCGCCATTGACGATCCTTAGATTCTGTACTTTTCTTTTTGTTGGGTCTTGACGATGATCGAGAAGAGAGCCAACACTTAAAAGAGACGATACGGGACACATGTGAGGTTGGAGGGTCCGGAGAACGACACGTATGCTCCAGTTGCATGCATTGAGCATCGTTTGCTTTGTGCTCGTGTTTATCTCTTTCTCTCATATTATTTTATTACTTTGTACTATATTCTTTTTTGTTTTGATAAATACTGTACTATATTTTAGTGTAGTGGATTATCGACTAGATCCTCACCGATTCTCTCCGACTCAAGCTCGTGTGCAAGATCGAAAGAAGAAGACGACACAGAGAAGTTACGAGTTCAGCTCCGAATATAAAGCTCGGGCCTACGTCTCGAGAAGAGGAAGCCGCATGTTTCTGCTAGGGTTACAACAAGGGAAAACCACCGGACACCGCCGCCAGAAAACCGCGAGCAAGGTTCACCGGATGAGAGAGAACCTCTCAACCGAAAACCATCCCGAAACCCTAAAGCGTTCGAATGCAAGAGACAACCAAAAAACTAGAGTTTCATTAAACACCCGGAAATGACGTAAACGACCCTCCGCTTCGCTCACAGACTTTGGAAGTCTCCAACTCACCTAGAGTCTTTGCTGGATTGCTGAAGAAATCCATCAATTCTCCACCTTCTTCTACAAAACCTGCAAAAGAAAGAGAACACGAATCAACACAATATATATAACGCCAAACATGAACCCTAGCACGCTGTCGCTTCCCGTCTACTTCCATATGTAAACTCTACCTCCCGACACATTCTAGGCGTATCAAATGTGTTGTTCTAATAGAGTGCTTACCGAGCGTACCATAAGTACGTCTCAGCGTGATAAACAAATAAACACGCAAATCCTAGTCTACCCAAAACGAGTGTCCCCGACACCTTCCGTTTTCCGAAGACTAGCTAAGACCTCGACTAGTTATGACTCTCTAGACCGTCTACATAACTCTCTCCGATGAAGTTTAAAACTTCATATGTGCACCCTCGAGAGTTAATCCCGACATCTACCCGTCTCCCGAGTCTAACCCGACTACCCCGAGACTAACCTGAGCCATACTATCGAACCTGCTAGACAACCTAGCCCTGGATCCCCGTAGAGTCTACACCACCTATGAGTTAGTGACTTCTACCCTCGGACCCTAACCTACCAACTAAGATTGTCCCACGGTTTTGTCCCGTGAAGACGCTCCTAGTCATCTACGATGCTCCACTGAGAATGAGGCACGTGAGTGCACGTACTCCACCCCGAGAGGGAGTGTCCTAGCGCTCTAACCTACACCAACTCTACCCGGTGTCCCGACACCTCCCAGCTCACACCATCTCCTGAGCATCCTACCCGAGGAAGCTCCACCTAAATATGGAGACCTCACCTCGTAACCTACCACCGAGAACCGAAGCAACTTCGGTTTACTCCTCCGAGGTCAACGCGTCCTTCTACCTCGGACTCTCCCTACCTCGTCATCCGGGACCTACAACACCTTCTTGTAATGTCTCTACCTGCCCGCGAAACCACTCACTCCACCTGGTCCTTGGCCTTCTCCTGCAACCCGATTTCTCGGGTTTGCCCGAGACCCCTAATCCTTCCACCATAACCCCTTTCGGGGTATACCGAGTTAGACAAATCTAACTCCATCATCCTAAGACGATACGACAAGAGTATAAAAAATCGACCCTACCCGGAAGAGACTTACCCGACCCTAGAAGTGATGTAACATGACACGAGGGATGAGACCGAACCCTAGAGGACAACCCTAGGTATATTTCTACCTAGCCGTGCTTAAACACGCTCTAACCCTAGTCTATCGGTCATAAACCTAGGTACTTCTCTACTAATCAGACCTACAAGACCTAGCGAACACGACCTGACCGGACTTAACCTAGGCACTCAACCTAAACCCAATCTAACGGACTTTCACTACAAGAAAATCTTAATATAACGACGGAATTTGCGACGGAATTTTTCCGTCGCAAAGAAATTACGACAGAATTCGACGAATTTGCGACGGAATGCGAAAATTTTTATTCCGTCGCAATTAGTCGCAAAATCCGTCGCAAATTTGCGACGGAATACGACGGAAACGTTGTCGTCGCAGAACCAAACATTATTTGCGACATAAATTTGAAAATTGCGGATTTGCGACAGATTTGTGACAGAAATTTCTGTCGCACATATTAATTTTATTTATTTTTCAATTTATATTATTTATTTTTGGAATTTGCGACAGATTTGCGACAGAAATTTCTGTCGCAAATAATTATTTTATTTTATTTTATTTTTCGATGAAAATTTTCAAATTTTCGCGGTTTATTTGCGACAGATTTGCGACAGAAATTTCAGTCGCAAATCTAAATTTTATTTTTTTC